AGTTTGTTATTCCGTTCCATTCCGTTCCGCAAAGTACCAATTGCTCTGAGGAATTGTTATTTAACGGAATCGAACGGAAACAGATATCTATGTAAAAGAAAGTAATATTATTTGTTTTTGTCTTACACCTTTTTTAAGTGAAAAGGAAAAAAAGAAAAGTGGGCAAGATCTTTTCTCTTAAGGTGTTTTAAACTGTTGTTAACTGTTACATTGTACATAAAAATATATGTGCTGTTAATTGTTATTAACTAGTTATAGCTGTTATCTGTTTTCTTAAAATTGTCATTATTGTTAACTGTTATTTGAAAAAAATACCCATGTTAGCTGTTTTAATGGTCAGTTCACTGTTAACTGTTTGTTTACCCATTTTGATATAGAAAAATGTGTAAAATAAATGTGCCTCGCTTCGATCGGCATTGACAAAACTAACAGCACTTTCATATAGAATAGGAAATGAGACCAAAAATTGTGCTTAATTGGATTAAGTTGATACATGTAAATGAGATCACACTAGCTAAGCATATCAGAAAAAGTTTCTTGATATCACTACCTCCACTCCACCCTGAAGTTCATTATCGTCTACTGATACAATGCATGCTTTATTGAAATTGATAACATTATTCAACATTAAACAATGTATTTAAAAAATGTAAAGGTGTTGAAATTTTGTTTTTGTCTTTCAAATTTTAGTTTTTTTCCTCTCGTCTTCTTATATAGAAAAAAATGACCGGTCCCTGGGCCCCAGCTTGTCTGGCAAAATAGCCGTTGGACGTCAGAGTAATACATTTGGTGATACGGTGATGTCTTCGTGCCATTGCCCCACATCGATCCTTTTTCATATATCCAGTAAATATGTATATATTTATTTATCATTATAACTTTATATATAGACGATCATATACAGCTAGCTAGATTGTCAACTGATATATCAAAGACAACAGGCATATATACAGAATATACATGTATATGAATCAAATAAAGTTAACACATGGAAATTAAACTTTAAAAGATATTTTTAAATAGCATAAACATATTTTAATACGTCATGGAACTTCCTTGACAATGTCACAAAATACATTACTATGTTTTTAATATTTGCTGAAAAAATAATTTGTTTGTGATTTGCTAAGAAAAATAATGATCAGTCACTGTGTTTCTAATCATCGTCGGAACGGGTGGCGGTATTAAGGCCTCTCTTTTTGGAAATATTTACGAATGGAAGAATGCATTTGTGTTAAATTCATAATTATTGATCCGGTTATTGAATGCTTACCACTCATGCAAAAAAGAGGTGTCAGACAATTTTTTTTTATCATACTGCTTTTATAACATAACTGATGTCTGTTTGCGTTCGATTCTGTTAAATACCAATTCCTCATAGCATTTGGTACTTTGCGGAACGGAACGGAAGGGAATAACAAATTTAAAAAGTTAAAATCAGAATCAATGTTTCTAATCATCGTCAGAAAGGACGGCGGGAGGTCTTGTTTTCTTAGATATAATTACAAATGAAAAGAGTAATACTTTTTGTCGGACTTGCCTATTTCATATAAATTATTGATCCGGTTATTCAATGCATATCATTCTAAAACACTTACCACTGATTTAAAAAAAGAGGTGTAAGTAAAAAAAATTAATCATACCGTCTTTTACATAGATGTCTGTTTCCGTTGATTCCGTTAAATACCAATTCCTCAGAGCAATTGGTACTTTGCGGAACGGAACGGAACGGAATAACAAATTTCAAAAGTTAAAATCAGAATCAATGTTTCAAATCATCGTCGGAAAGGACGACGGGAGGTCTTGTCTTCTTAGATATAATTACAAATGAAAGGAGTTACACTTTTTGTCTGACTTGCCTATTTCATATAAGTTATTGATCCGGTTGTTGAATGCATATCTAAAACACTTACCACTCATTTAAAAAAACAGGTGTAAGTAAAAAAAAAGGAATCATACCGTCTTTTACATAGATTTCTGTTTCCGTTGATTCCGTTAAATACCAATTCCTCAGAGGAATTGGTACTTCGCGGAACGGAACGGAATAACAAATTTAAAAAGTTAAAATCAGAATCCATAATCATCGTCGGAAAGGACGACGGGATGTCTTGTCTTCTTAGATATAATTACGAATGAAAGGAGTTACACTTTTTGTCTGACTTGCCTATTTCATATAAATTATTGATCCAGTTATTGAATGCATATCTAAAACACTTACCACTCATTTAAAAAAAGAGGTTTAAGACAACAAAAAAATTAATCATACCGTCTTTTACATAGATGTCTGTTTCCGTTGATTCCGTTAAATACCAATTCCTCAGAGCAATTGGTACTTTGCGGAACGGAACGGAACGGAATAACAAATTTCAAAAGTTAAAATCAGAATCAATGTTTCAAATCATCGTCGGAAAGGACGACGGGAGGTCTTGTCTTCTTAGATATAATTACAAATGAAAGGAGTTACACTTTTTGTCTGACTTGCCTATTTCATATAAGTTATTGATCCGGTTGTTGAATGCATATCTAAAACACTTACCACTCATTTAAAAAAACAGGTGTAAGTAAAAAAAAAGGAATCATACCGTCTTTTACATAGATTTCTGTTTCCGTTGATTCCGTTAAATACCAATTCCTCAGAGGAATTGGTACTTCGCGGAACGGAACGGAATAACAAATTTAAAAAGTTAAAATCAGAATCCATAATCATCGTCGGAAAGGACGACGGGATGTCTTGTCTTCTTAGATATAATTACGAATGAAAGGAGTTACACTTTTTGTCTGACTTGCCTATTTCATATAAATTATTGATCCAGTTATTGAATGCATATCTAAAACACTTACCACTCATTTAAAAAAAGAGGTTTAAGACAACAAAAAAATTAATCATACCGTCTTTTACATAGATGTCTGTTTCCGTTGATTCCGTTAAATACCAATTCCTCAGAGCAATTGGTACTTTGCGGAACGGAACGGAACGGAATAACAAATTTCAAAAGTTAAAATCAGAATCAATGTTTCAAATCATCGTCGGAAAGGACGACGGGAGGTCTTGTCTTCTTAGATATAATTACAAATGAAAGGAGTAATACTTTTTGTTTGACTTCACGCGCCTATTTCATATGAATTATTGATCTGGTTATTGGATGTATATCTAAAACACTTACCACTTATTTTACAAAAAAGGTGTTAAGACAAAAAAAAAAGGAATCATACCGTTTTTTACATAGATGTCTGTTTCCGTTGATTCGTTAAATACCAATTCCTCAGAGCAATTGGTACTTTGCGGAACGGACCGGAATAACAAATTCAAAAAAGTTAAAATCAGAATCCATAATCATCGTCGGAAAGGACGACGGGATGTCTTGTCATCTTAGATATAATTACGAATGAAAGGAGTTTCACTTTTTGTCTGACTTGCCTATTTCATATAAATTATTGATCCAGTTATTGAATGCATATCTAAAACACTTACCACTCATTTAAAAAAAGAGGTGTAAGACAACAAAAAAATTAATCATACCGTCTTTTACATAGATGTCTGTTTCCGTTGATTCCGTTAAATACCAATTCCTCAGAGCAATTGGTACTTTGCGGAACGGAACGGAACGGAATAACAAATTTCAAAAGTTAAAATCAGAATCAATGTTTCAAATCATCGTCGGAAAGGACGACGGGAGGTCTTGTCTTCTTAGATATAATTACAAATGAAAGGAGTAATACTTTTTGTTTGACTTCACGCGCCTATTTCATATAAATTATTGATCTGGTTATTGGATGTATATCTAAAACACTTACCACTTATTTTACAAAAAAGGTGTTAAGACAAAAAAAAAAAGGAATCATACCGTTTTTTACATAGATGTCTGTTTCCGTTGATTCCGTTAAATACCAATTCCTCAGAGCAATTGGTACCTGCGGAACGGACCGGAACAACAAATTTAAAAAGTTAAAATCAGAATCCATAATCATCGTCGGAAAGGACGACGGGATGTCTTGTCTTCTTAGATATAATTACGAATGAAAGGAGTAACACTTTTTGTCTGACTTGCCTATTTCATATAAATTATTGATCCGGTTATTCAATGCATATCTAAAACACTTACCACTCAATTAAAAAAAGAGATGCAAGAAAAGAAAAAAGAATCATACCGTCTTTTACATAGATGTCTGTTTCCGTTGATTCCGTTAAATACCAATTCCTCAGAGCAATTTGTACTTTGCGGAACGGAACGGAACGGAATTACAAACTTTCAAAAGTTAAAATCAGAATCAATGTTTCTAATCATCACCGGAAAGGACGACGGGAGGTCTGTCTTCTTATATATCATAATAAATGAAAGGAGTAAGACTTTTTATCTCTGACCTGCCAATGCGTCAAATTCATGATGATTTATCAGGACATGAATGTACATCTACAGGATATTTCCCGATGTTATACATTATTACACATTTTACATATCATGAAGATAAAATTTAGTATGCAATTGTGTTATCTGTATGTTGAAAACTGTAAACAGCGAAATTTAAAGTTCTGTTTTAAAGATTTTTCGAAATTTTGATGGATACCTTATTAGTAAATGAAATATTCCGTTCTGTTCCGTAAAGTACCAATAGCCTCCAAGATTAAACAAATAAGCAAAATTATCGTTTCATCTGTATAAGAATGATTTTAGTTGTAGACTGAATGAGTCAACGGAATGTTTTTTTCAAATTAATATTTATATTGACCGGGTCGAATACTATTTATAGGGTTAAAAATTAAATCTTCTTTGTGAAAACAAGAAAAGTATAAGTTTAGTGAACTACCACAAAGAATATATTTTATAGATAACGGTAAAAGATGATATTCATATGTATACTAGGTGGAATCTTAATTGATAATAATTTGCATCACTTAATTAGCTCGTTAGATCTATGTTTACGACAGATTAAAAAAAAAATAAAAAAACAAAAAATCCAATCAAGATGTATTTATGGTCTTTAGATCTACCACTCTATAAATAGCAACATAACAAATCCTTTAAAAGTCTAATTTTCATTGGTAGGGCTCATTTGGGATGATTTTAAAAGAACTTGCACAATACAACAATCAATCCCTCATGTAATAACGTTTTAAGCGAATGATTTGATTTGAATGATATGTAGCAAACAATTGTTTCGAGTATGCCGCTTCTGTTAGTGTTTGTCAGGTAAGGACAGTCAGTAACTTAGTAAGGTATCATATGATCAGGTTGTTGCATGCATCTCTAGTCACAGTACCCGCAACCGTACTCACACTTATCTCTCATAGTCTTTATTTCTTGGAATGTTCCTCACAAAAAGAAATCTGCGGAAGCCCATTTAGGACCTTCCAAAAATATAATTTTAATTCGATATCGCGATTTAAAATCTTTATCATGAATTGTGGAATTCGAGGGTTTCCTATAGTCGAGTTGCAAGTTGCGAGTTACAAAAATCGAGTTGCAAGTTAGGAAAGTCAAGTTGCAAGTTTCGAAAGTCCAGTTGCGAGTTACAAAAATATTATGTTCTCTTTAAATTTCTTAAGAATTATATATATATATATATTACATATTGTTTGATTTTTCTTGTTTCTCATAGGTTTATTTGGTCATGTGTTTCCCAATATATATGTTGTAATTTTTCACTATTTTGCCATATTGACTCGACGTTACTATTTTTAAAATGATCATGATGATATTGACTCCATATATATTACTAAAAATAGTTACGTTGAGTCTGTATCCAGTGTTTTCCCTAGGCTATTCAAGCATTGTGGTACCGCTACGCATAAATTTCGACCGCCATGCTTTCATAATTGCCGCAATGCATTCCGCTATGTGTGAAAATTATAACTGTGTAAAATATTTATTATCGATATTTTGAAAGTGAAGTGACAAGTGACAACACTCCACAGGTGTTTTAAACTCATCCGACTGATAATTGGATGCATCACGTTGCGCGTGCCGGGATTTAACAACCTTCTTGATTAGTCAGGTATACATCGAGTATTTATGGTCTTTAGATCTACCACTCTATAAATAGCAACATAACAAATCCTTTAAAAGTCTAATTTTCATTGGTAGGGCTCATTTGGGATGATTTTAAAAGAACTTGCACAATACAACAATCAATCCCTCATGTAATAACGTTTTAAGCAAATGATTTGATTTGAATGATATGTAGCAAACAATTGTTTCGAGTATGCCGCTTCTGTTAGTGTTTGTCAGGTAAGGACAGTCAGTAACTTAGTAAGGTATCATATGATCAGGTTGTTGCATGCATCTCTAGTCACAGTACCCGCAACCGTACTCACACTTATCTCTCATAGTCTTTATTTCTTGGGATGTTCCTCACAAAAAGAAATCTTCTATGTTCTCTTTAAATTTCTTAAGAATTATATATATATATATATTACATATTGTTTGATTTTTCTTGTTTCTCATAGGTTTATTTGGTCATGTGTTTCCCAATATATATTTTGTAATTTTTCACTATTTTGCCATATTGACTCGACGTTACTATTTTTAAAATGATCATGATGATATTGACTCCATATATATTACTAAAAATAGTTACCTTGAGTCTGTATCCAGTGTTTTCCCTAGGCTATTCAAGCATTGTGGTACCGCTACGCATAAATTTCGACCGCCATGCTTTCATCATTGCCGCAATGCATTCCGCTATGTGTGAAAATTATAACTGTGTAAAATATTTATTATCGATATTTTGAAAGTGAAGTGACAAGTGACAACACTCCACAGGTGTTTTAAACTCATCCGACTGATAATTGGATGCATCACGTTGCACGTGCCGGGATTTAACAACCTTCTTGATTAGTCAGGTATACATCGAGACTTCAGTTACATAATAGAAGTGGCCAGTTAGCTGATAAATAAATAGTCAGATTAATCTTTCTGTGCTAAATAAAAGTATAACCTTTTCCAGTATAAATTTTACCTTTAAAACAGGTGTTTGACATCGCTATTTTACTGTTATCTTTAAAAAGTAGAAATGTAAAATTTGGTATAGTCTCTGGTATCATAAAATAAAAAAATGAGATGAAAGACATATGGTTTTTATTGGATTTCTTGATAGATATATGTAAATAGTTTCAGGAAAGGTACTACTCCAAGCGATTGAAATTCTACTTCTGGCCAAATTTTGGGGAAATATGTGACATCTTTTCCCCCCTTTTTGCAATATTTTATAACAAATAAATGCAGATTGTTGCCATGGATACACCAAAAAGAAATTATATTTTACCATTTTAACTACTGGATATAAAATCTATGGAAGATTCTGATTACATACATATGCACATATATGACACAAACAGTAAGCTTTATTTGCAAGAAAGCAATGAAAAGGGGATGGTAAAATTTATGATGGTAAATTTTAATATTTTTTCCTAACTGTTTATTGCTACCTAATCACTCTGATATTTCCGTAAAGTTGTCAGGCGGTCAAAATCAAAACAATGAACGCGAATTTAGTGAATTTTTCGTGTTTTGTGAGTTTATTCTTCTTGAAATAGAGGCATTTAAACTTTACGTGGGAACCTAGAGTTCAACGACTACACATACAAGGTTTGGACTTGCTTATTCTTTGGACATTCAAGTTTCAAGTTTCACCCCGGCAACCTGTATTTCTAATGACCTTGTTAGCCAATTTTCAACACGAAGTTTGCAAATTTGACGTTTCAGCCATTTTAGCCTGTATTTTATACTGCAATGTTAAAAGCCTCTCGCTTCGATTTTTAAAATAGCTCAGGAACCTTGATTTTTGCAACGCCAGTCATTATATTTCGTTTAAATGGTGTATATAGTTGTGTATATTTATTTTCTGCCCCGGCAACCTGTCTATCACTTAAATCAAAGTTAAAACAGACATTTTTTCTAAATTCCCTATCATTTCAATATAATTTCCGTGACCCGTATCCGATTTCTTTAGTGTAATATTCAAAAAAGCAAAGTGGCGTTGATTTCTGGATATGTTGTAAACGGTCAAGATACCCACACCTAAACCATATTTATTCCTGTTCATCATTTCAAAAAGATTTGAATGACATACAGGGTCAATCTCCTAGGTGTCACATATGCATATCACTTTACTAGACCAAACCAATATGAACTGGACTTTGCCCAATGTCAGGAGACCATGGGAATGATGAATTATGGGGGCTTTGTTTGGGAGACTTCGTAACGGCATCCTGTTACAATTATTTCTTGTTTATTATAAAATTTTATAAAAAAATGAGTCAAGGTTAATTGAATTTTCTTTAATTATTTATTAAATTATTTCTGGGCCTATAATAATTTTCATTTATGGCTCATTTTAAAGAAAACATATAAATCTTTCAAGCAGTGTAAAGCCTGAGAATGTTTGACCAACTGTTTTATAATCACCTGTCATTTTATTCCAAACTTGGTATGGAGTAACATCATGCACTTGGTGGTGAAGATGGGGGTCATTTACATTGATATATGAGTTGTTTTTGAAAACCTTGATGAAATATTGATTAATTTGCCTTAATAATCAATTCATTTAATGAACATAAATGTACAATATACGAATGTTTAATGTTTGTTCTTTCAAATCTTAAAAAAAAATTGAAGCAACACTCCCACAGTTTTCATAATTATGTTTGCCTTGGTTTTTGGTTAACTGCCTACAGGGCTTACAGTGCTTTGATTCTTTTCTGTTCTCTAACTTAAGTTAGTCTCAACCAAATGTTATGAAACTTATACACAATGCTTATTACCACAAAACACAGATCAAGTTTGAATTTTGGTGGTGTCACTTTTACTGTTCTAGAGTTATGCCCCTTTACAAACGGTTCTTCAGTTATGTCCCTTTATAACTTTATATGATATGCAAGCGGGGGCATCATCTGTGTCCCATGGACACATTCACCATTTATTTAGAAAGAAGTTACATATTCCAAAACTGTGTCTTTTGTCTCTTTTACAAAAGTATCTTTGACAGCTACATGTATAGAATAAAGAATGGAAACGGGGAATGTGTCAAAGAGACAACAACCCAACCAAAATATACAAGTCAACCCAAGGCCACCAATGGGTCTTCAACACAGCGAGAAATCCCACACCCTGAGGCAGCCCCTAGCAGGCCCCGAAACACAATGTACACTAGATCAAGAAAATGGACGCCATTCTATGCTCCAAAACATATAGATGAACCAAAATTAAAAAAATATACAAGACCAACAAAGGCTAGAGGTTCCTGACTTAGGACAGACGCAAAAATGCGGCGGGATTAAACAGGTTTTATGAGCGCTCAACCTTCACCCTTCACCTGTAGCCAAATATAACTTAAACGTCTACAATTTTGAGTGTCACTGCCAAAGGATAAATTTTGGGGTCCCTAACAAATACTGCCCCAAAGAGCCCACTCTTAACGAAATCTGCAGAAGGGGTCTTTTACATATATGTTCTATAGTTTAGTTGCTATCTCCCTTTATGTTTAATATGACGGTTCTAGCTATGAAATTTAATAATAATTAAACTACAAGCCGTCCTCTGTATTTCAAAAGGCAATCTGTTTCTTCAGAAAATAACCATACTTACTTTACGTAGTGATTATGTAAGCAATCCATTCATTTTTTTTTACACGAGACTCAGATGAAGTCCAAACAACAAAAAGAATCAACAATACTGTATACAATTCTATGAGCAAACATCATTCAAAAATGTTAAACAGGTACACCAAAAAATTTAAATAGTTTTCCCCATTTTCACGCAATTCTAAATTTGTAACTCGCAACTCGACTTTCGTAACTCACAACTCGACCTTCGTAACTCGCAACTCGACCTTCGTAACTCGCAACTTGACCTTCTTAACTTGCATCTCGACCTTCATAACTCGCAACTCGACTTTCGTAACTCGCAACATAATACTTGACAACAAGTGAATCTCGTAGAATTCGTTATCATTCATAATTCGTTTGTGCCAATAAAATATTTGTATTTTGTATCACAGATTAAATGCAGTATAATGAATTTATGGAATTAGTTATAACAGTTTTTGTAATTTGTAATAATGGATTAAAATCGTTATCACATTTATTTGTAATTCGTGATAACAGATTAAAATTGTTATAACAAATTCATGAAATTGTATAATTAGTTATCATGGATTAAATTCGTTCTCACGAATGTGTGTAATTTATTATGACAGGTTTTTTTGTTATTCATGATTACTGGTTAAATTCGTTATCACAGATTTTTGTAATTCGTGATTACAGTTTAAAAATCGTAATAACAAATTGTATAATTCGTGTTAACGGATTAAATTCGTGATAACTATTTCTACAAATTTGTGATAATGAATTTAATCCGTTATAACTATAATTTTAATCGGTTATCACGAATTATAAAAAAAATGTGATTACTATTTCCTTTATAACAATTTATATAATTCGTTATCACAATTTATAAAATTCGTTATTACGATTTTAATCCGTTATCAGGAATTGCAAAAAATTGAGTTTAACAAATTTAATTCGTAAGAACCAATTATAAAAACTGCTATAACTAATTCCGGAAATTCGTTTTAGAAGAATTTATTCTGTTATAACAAATTCTTCAATTCGTGATAACGATTTAAATTCGGGATTTCGAAATTCATATATATATTTTTTGGAGGTCCTAAATGGCTGAATGGGCTTTCTTTGTTTAGTTTTTGAGATAATATAAGATGTAAAAATGTAATTTAATAGCAAACCAGAAAAATATTGTTAAAGCATGTTTTTACCTCCCAAGACTTGAGAAATTTAAAGGGGTTGTAAAAAAAACTACATGTATGAGTATTTTTTTGGAGAAAATAAAGGGGAGATTATTCAAACCTTGAAAATAAGATAAGAATTTTACAAATTTACTTTATACAAGTAAATTTTACTTACATCTACATTTTGTACATCAAGTAAATAAACATGGCTTGTATCTCATAATTGTTTCTCATACATGTATATGTTTTTTCGTTTGTTCTTGTGTTATGCTGTTACACCACTGTCCCAGGTAAAGGGAGGGTTGGCGCCTTCAAACATGTTTAACCTTGCCACATTCTATATGTGCTTGTCCCTATTCAGGAGCCTGTAGTTCAGTGGTAGTTGTTGGTTCATGTCTGTAATATTTGTTTTTCGTAAATTGTTTGTTATAAATTAGGATGTTAGTTTTCTCAATTGAATTGTTTCATATTTTTCATGTCGGGCCTCTTATAGCCGACTATACTGTATGGGTTTTTCTCATTGTTGAAGGCCGTAAGGTTGCCTATAATTGCTTACATCCACCATGTTGGCAATCATACCACATCTCCTAATTTTTGTATGACTTGTAAAAGTATTAACCTGCATGATTGACTGTTATGGCAAATTTTAAATTAGTGAGAAATGTTCAAATATAATACAATGTACAACATGTACAAAAATGTACATGGTGCAGTAATGGCAGTATTGACAACACTGCATATGTACTACAGTATTTATCGCTTCAGGTAAAGAAATACAAGGATCCCGTTATAAAGATGGCAGGCAATGGGTCAGAGAAATCTAAAGACTTCCTGAATAGACTAGCGGAGTTAAAAAAGAGATCATATGAAGTAAAATTTGACCTTGATGGAAGTGATTATACTGCTGTTGAAAATATTGGTATTGGGGCATATGGAGTCGTTTGCTCTGCCATTCATAAAAAATCCCAGGATCGTGTTGCTATTAAAAAAATCCATAAAGCATTTGAATTTGAAAAAATTGCTACAAGAACATACAGAGAAATAAAGATATTAAAACATTTTAAACATGATAATATTATTTCAATTCGAGATATTCTTAAACCTAAAGGTTCTGTGACAGAATTTATGGATATTTATATTGTGTTAGACTTAATGGAAAGTGATCTGCATAGAATAATTTATTCTAAACAAGAATTAACAGAAGAACATGTCCGTTACTTTTTATATCAGTTGTTACGAGGATTAAAATATATTCATTCTGCAAAAGTTATACATAGGGACTTAAAACCCAGTAATTTATTGGTAAATGAAGACTGTCAATTGAAGATTGGAGATTTTGGTAAGTTTATTCAATATAAATCAAATATTACATGAGTCATGTGAGTGCTACATTGTACATAACACTAAAACACTATGATGGTTTATTTGAACTCTGTATAAAAATATGGAGCTAGGTATGATTGCAAATTACAATAACTATCCACCTCCGACCCAAAGGACAAAAATATATACCACTGTAGGTCACCATAAGACCACATGAAAAAATGTGAAACTAATTGAAAGAGAAAACCAACATTCTGATATATGCTCATTACAATAAACTAAGAACTAGTATAACACAGACAGCAACCAATAGCAATGAATGTCTGTTAAATAGACCACATGTACAAGCCTGACAAGAAAACTGAAATTTGTATAAATCAAGATATTGAGGTTTTACATTTAAACCATATTCATGATGTATGCATATGACTTTAAATTTCTCATTTAAATCAAGTTGTTTTTTAATTAAACAGATTTCAAAAGATATTGTCTTTAAGAAATACATTCTTAACTCTTGTTTGTGTTAACAGTTAAACATGTAAAAAGACACAAGATGAATAAGCCAAAATCTTAACAACAGTGACAAATTCTGTAATGCTTATACATTATCATGATTATAAACATGCTACATTTAAAGAAGAATAGGAAAATTGAATTTTTGGAAAGTAAACAGAGAGACATGCAAAACTATATAATATTTTTGTATATATTATTCAAGGTATGACAAGAGCTTTGATTTCTAACACAATCATGACAAGACACAGTATACATGATATAGCTTATATTATTCAACAATCACATGTTCATGATGTACATGTATGCTTGTGCTTTTCTTTTTGTCATGTTTGTATAAATCAGGTCACGCAGGTCACATGGTTTTTGAAAGGTCAATCCTCAAAATTGATTATTTGACAGCATGTTTTTCATACATGTAAAAATGTATCTTGCAGAAGAATATAGTCATCATAAAATGTTTCAGAGGTTTATTTTCAAAACATTTAATCCTCTTAAACTCTTGAACTGATCACATACTACATGTACTATGGATTCATTTCTTTTTGTTGCTATCAATTTTCGTGGATTGAGGAAAGTTTGCATTTTTGTGGATATTTGATTCGTAGGTTTGCCAATTTGTGCATACAAACCCTATAGAAAATTTGTAATTCATTGAACATTTGAAATTGTGGTTCACCTGTACCCACATAAATCACAAATATTGGTATCCAATGAATAATAATGAATTCTTAGGACATGTACATGTTTATTGCTATTCCAGGAATGGCCAGAGGTTTATTGTCGAACCCAGAAGAACCTAACCATTACATGACACAGTATGTGGCTACTCGATGGTACCGAGCACCAGAGATCATGTTGTCCATGGTGGAGTATTCATCGGGAGTAGATATGTGGTCTGTTGGGTGTATATTTGCAGAAATGCTGGGAAGGAAACATCTTTTCCCAGGTATAGTTAGGATAAGAAATTGAAAGAATTTGATTGATTTTTGGTGTTTAACTCTGCTTTTAGCACTGTTGGTTTTTTCGTGGGCGGTCAGTTTTTTACTGATGGTGGAAGCTGGAGTGCCTCAATTGCTTGTAGAAAACCATGAATTTTGACAGGAAGACTGACAATCCTTGTCAATTAAGATTGGAGTTTACTGCACCTGTCAGGTGAAGGTTTCAACTCACAACCTCAGTGTTTGCAGGGTAGTGTTACAGTATTTTAACAACTTACCCCACTCAGTCACCAAGACTCGTAAGATTTAGAAAAATATTCTTTTGTTTTATCTGATAAAAATATGGATGAAAGAAGGATAGGGTACATGCAAAAAAGATAACAGCATGGTATACTGGTAATCATGGTAATACAAAATATGAATAAAAATTTTGCAAAAAAATAAATTCACAATAGACTAATGTGTAATATTTGTTCAGTTTTAAATAACCATGATTATTTATACATGACCATGATGACAGACATATTGTGAATAAATATTTTATCTAATTCATCTCCACTGCAATATGTGACAGATAGACATGATAGACTAAGTAAAAGTCTTCATCTGTCAGATTGTCTGTCCTTAACACTGTTAACACTACTTCTCTTGCATTGTCTTGGAGATTTTTTGCTTGTAAGTTTTCATACTTTGGAGTTTTTTTTTGTCATGTGTAGTTGATTATACATTACCCCAAAAACTGTACCTGATTAGAGAAACAAGCAAATGTGATTTCTTTCTTTGTGGAATTTTGTGGCAAGTTTCAGTGTGATTCACTAAACACACTGAATTATCCACTCACAATCAGGGGTACTACTTGTACAAGTAATCTTTATTTACTTGAAGAAGTAAAAAAAATATACTTTTATAAGTTAATTATAATGTTTGAATAATCTCCCCTTAATATTCTTAAAAATTTACTTGTATAAGTAAATTATTTTATGATCCCACAAAAATTCTCAACTTTTGAGATGTAAAAACATGCCTTTATGATTTTTCCCTGGTTAGCTCATAGTTTTTTATTAGAGTTCAATGTTTCATCTCTTTAATTCAACAAAGAAACTGATTGCGCATAGATCTTAAGTATTAATTTGCGCAAGGCCTTCAAAAATTGCCCCTTGGGGGCTTGTAAATGAGCAGTGTTCTGAAGATAACAGACAAATGAGATTTTCATTGTCCATGAAATTACACTTACATGATTAGTAAAGACATCTGCAAAGGACAGACAATTCAAAATTCTATTAGAGCAAAGAAGTCCTAAGAATTCAAGAAAAGAAGAAAGGATGACTTTTTTACTTATATAAGTAAAAAAATCTGAATATCTATATATAGCTATAAAGGGACATAACTAAGCCAAAAAATTATTTACCTATACAAGTAAACAAAATACACTTGAATAAGTATCCTACAAATTTACTTATATAAGTATATTAATATTACTTCTTCAAGTAAATAAAAATTACTTGTACAAGTAGTACCCCTGACTGACTCAATAACATTCAAATAACCTTAAGTGTAATGCATTTTAATTTGTAGTGAGAAATCTATAATGTTTGAGAAAAGAAAGTATATGTTTTTGTGAAATATTTTTTTGAAATACAAAAAAATGTATTCAGTATTAGTGTGTTATCGTCTATTTCAGGAAAAGATTATATACAGCAGATAAGATATATTATTGGTGTATTAGGATCCCCATCGCAAGCCGTCATGGATTTATGTAACTCAGATCTAATCAAAAACTTTGTAAAGCGTAAGTTACACCAATGATTGCACTCTTCACAATGTACACAAAAGAACACTTATATCATGTATCTCAAGTATACATTTGAATTAATTTCTGGTGCTTCCCCATTTTTTGTTAGCCACAGAACACTTCATGGTATACCTTAGTCTGTTTGTCCCTAAACATTTCAATACAAATTTGCTTTTACCACTTCTCATGAAATTTTAATACATAATTTAACATGTTTAATAGAATTAATGGAAGAAAGCTCCCTTTTCAAATTTGACGATTTTTGTCATTCCTGAGTTGTTGGACTTTTTACATGGATAATTCCACATTTTTATTCAAATGTAAAATTCTTCACTTTTAGCATACTACTATTTGATCCCCCACACCCACATGACCCAAAAAGCTAGTTTGGCGAGAAATGATTACAATACACCAAAATACCATTATGACAATTGTGTGATTTACACACTGATCTGTAGTTTTATTTAATTTTTCGTGGGTACATATTTTTGCTGAAAGAGGATTACTTTTCTGTATTGCCAAAGTATCCATTCAAGCCGATAGAAAATGCTTACTTTGTTGAACATTTGAATTCTTGCTTTACCTATACCCACAAAAACCATGAATGATTAGTACTTCATGAATAATAATGAATTACACAGTATGTAAAATATTGGTTCTTCATTTTAGAACTTGGTAAAAGAGAAGGAATTGCATGGACAACTCTGTTTCCAAAAGCAAGTCGTAAAGCAATAAACTTACTGAGTCGTATATTAGTGCTGCACCCTGGTGAGAGAATTACTGTGGAGGAGGCTTTAAAACATCATTATTTGTCAAAATACCATGACCCTGATGATGAACCTGTATGTGTTCCAGCATTTAACTTTGATTTTGAAAATCAGGTTTGTACATCTCATACATGTTGCATTACATTACCCTTATATATTGCCCATCTTATTTGAAATTTGGATGTTTTCAAAAAAAATCTAAAAATGATAAATGGGTACAATTGTGCACACATGGACCAATAAAAAAAAAACAAAAAATTACCACGATTACAGCTTTTACTTTAATTTGCAAGGTATTTGTTTGTTTGATGATGTTTAGCACAATTTTTCATATCTCGGTTAAACCTGATGGCTATCAGATTAAACAGTAAAAAGGATTGCATTGAGTAAACCACATACTTTTGTGAGGACCTGACAAACTTGAATAATTTTAAGAACATACACAAATTTTTGTTCAATAATTTTTCTTGCTGACCAGTGTTGACATAGTTGAGTAAAACAATAGAGTGATTTTGGCTTATTTTGAGTGATAAAAAACACTAATTTACGACCCAATGATATGATACCTATGGTTTATACAAAGTCAATATCTGAATCCACAGAATATTTTTTTTACAGCAATTAAATTTAGAACAGTTAAGAGATATGATTTATACAGAGAGTATGGAATACCACCAGCCTAAAACATTCAATGCATTTCTTCGTCCAGCCCCAAAGGAACCTTCTGTATCCAAGGCGACGGTTACCACAGAACAGGTTGTACCTGAATCAAGCAAGGTCAAAGTTGAAGTAGGCAATCTAGTACCAAGGTCATTAGCTGATGTAGAAATGCATAGTGCAAAAGTTGAAAACTCCAAGAAGGAAACTATTCATACAGTTGATTTACAGAAAGTGAAAGAAGCTACAAAACCTGAGGTCAAGGGTCAAGAAGGTCATACTGTTTCCTCCAACACAAAAGAATTAATAAAAGCAGCCTTGATGAATGCTAATCTGCGAAAACAAAGACAAGGTATGTCAGTATAATTCATCTGCAAAATGAAATAATATTAATGTGAAAAAAATTTAGATTTGAAGTATAACATCAATGAGACCACTACCAAAATAGATATAAAAAAAATTAAAAAAATGTCTATAGAAAAAAATGTCTTAAGATCAAACCTTTAACAGATCTAGACAGATGAGTGCTATAGAAAAAAAGTGTCTTAAGATCAAACCTTCAACAGCAGGACAAGTGTCTGTAGAAAAAAATGTCTTTAGATCAAACCTTCAACAGATCTAGACAGACGAGTGTTCTAGAAAAAAATGTCTTAAGATCAAACCTTCCACAGAAAGACAAGTGTCTATTGAAAAAAATGTCTCAAGATCAAACTTTCAACAGAAAGACAAGTGTTTATACCATTGGACTAAAAATGTATGCTAGATTTTCTTAAACTATTTGAATTTTACACTTTATGTATGTCAGATTTTCTAAAACTATTTGACTTTTACACTTTAGAATCTTTAAATGAAGAGAACAACAAAAACAAGCCAATTACAGCTGCTCAAAGACAAAGAGAAAGAGAAGAAAAAAGGAGAAAGAAGAAAGAGAAATCATTGGAAAAAATGAAGAAGAAAAAAGGCCCCAAAGGTATTTAGATGCTGTAATAATTGACTATCAAGTAAAGATTACAACTTTTCCTATGTTTTTTAAATTTTTTTTGGAATTCAAAGTTTTAGGCAGATGATATTGTGTTTTACTTCATAATTTATGTAGAAATACAAAACAAAAAGAAGGAATTTTTCACAAGAATGATATCATTCTAGTGTTTCAAGGAATTAAAAAATGATAATACTATAGACTTGATTTTTCATTTCTGTCATAATTGGCAGACGGTGACAGCATCAGGATTCCAAAATGTGCTTGGAAAAGAAAAAAAAATTAAAAGAGCTGTTGACCTTTCAATTTGGCAACCATAGTATGAATATATCTGTTAAGTGATAACACAAGTTTTTCCCTACTGTAAATTCAGAAAGTAATGTGTGCGTTTATTATTGCAATTTTTATCATGTTAGACTAAAATGCGACTTTAATTTTTGCAATATTTAGAAAAATCCTGTTTAATTCATATAAAAAATTTCAAAATGCAATTTTAAATTATTACGATTATAACTCTGTCGCATTTTTCGCAATAATAAAAACATCACTAATAATTTCTGAATTTAAAGTATTTTGTACTATTCATGAATTTGACTTGCAGATGTATGATGGAGCCAAAATATCGTGAGTTACCTCCCTTCACACATAATTGTCTAATATTTTAAGCATTGAAAAAAGGGAGTATTCAAAATATAGGTTCTTATTTGATAAAAATTTGACAATTATGCTTGGGAAATATATTTTTCTTTAGAACTAATGTTTTTGGATTAAAATTTATTATAATTAACCACAAGTTAAACTGGTCTAAAACAATTTTAATTTCTTTTAGCCTAGCTCAATTCTTCACTACGATCTAGTAAGGATATTTATCATACTTGCCTGACTGCATGTTTAAATTTTGTTAGTCAATTTATAGGAAAATCAACCATTTTAAACCTCCAAAATGGCAGCCAAGGGAAATAACTCAAACTCAAATTACGTCATATTGAAACCTATCTATAGGATAGGTGTAGTCAATATAGTCACAAACATTTGAATTATTCACTGATAGACATCATCTGCATAGAGGGACATGAAGTCAAAGGAAAGACCAGCTTCTGTTTTTTTCTTCTTAAGAAGCCCCTGCATGGAGTCAGCCTCCGTGAGAAGAAGAGCACCCTAATGAATACTGATTTTCTGTTTGAAATTATGCACATATTAAATGTAAAAATTTGTTGTCCAAAAATTTTTAAGTATTTTGATGATGTCAGTTTCAGATAACTTTTTGTTATAATCCGAAAGAATTTTTAATAAAATATGATTTGTTCCTTCTTAAAACAAGATATTTGTATCTTTTATAAGAAAATAATTTTGACAAGTTCTTTTAATCTGTCTAAGGTTAAACATAAGAATATGTGTGTAAGGCCTAGGGATGGAGAATTCTATTACACAAGGGGAGTGACTTTGATTCTATATGTACTCTAACAGATCTTACAAGAAACATGGAGTCATTAATTTCATAAAAAAAGTTGTGTTTTATGAGAAGAGTGAGCATGGACAGGTCAGTAAAGAGTCTTCACAAGTAGTAAAGACCCTAAGGTTAACTGTAAATGACCTCTTAAAAACAAAACCTATAAAATATTGAACAAAAACAATCACAACTACCATGTCTAAAAGACCTAGCTTAGTCATTGAGGCCATAATGAATCAGGTTCTCATCCCCCTCCCCCAGTGTTTTCAGAGCCAAAAATAAACCATTTTGACATGATTATTTTCTATTATTTTTTTTCAAAGATGTTTTATGAAAATTGTTTTTATAATGAATGGCCTAACATTGTTTGAAAAACAAATATAACATGTATCTTTTCTATATAATTCAGGAATTGAAAAAGTACATTCATTGTTGACAAATGAAGACAAGGAAATGTTAGAGAGATGGGCAAAGATGCAAAAAAATGTCCAACAGATTGCACCAAAACCAGACCCAACTCAGAGCCAAAACAGAAACGAACAAACTATAACAATTATTAACATCCAACAGCAGGTTATCACAATACCAAAACAAACTGAGCCTAGTAACCAAGGGCAACAGACTACTGATGCAACATCTGTTGGACTGAAATCTTTCTCCCAGCATGCATTTGGTATTCAAAACCTATCTGGTCAGAGAGGTTCTTTACCAGTTCAATCTGACTTAAATGAAAGTGATAAAGTTCAAATTCCACCGGAAAGGCGTGAAAGTGACTCGTGTGTTTATCAAATACATAGACAGGAAAATAAGCAGAATTTGTTGTCTAATTTACAGCAGAAAAATGTGTCTGAATCTACAAAGAAAAATGAGAATGTTCCAGGATTTTCCACAATAAACATGCAAGATTTGAAATCACTAGGGATTACAAACATGCCATTGCAGGAACCAACTTCATTTGCAAATATTGATGGGTCTTCAGATAAACTTCATACGAGTAGTTCTAGTGAAACATTAGAGAATCCTGGTCATAATTTTACTAACAGGAGATCCCCTTATTCACAAGGATCCCCTTCTAAGGACTATAGTAATAATGGGTCTCCAGAAAGTTACACGTCTCAGGGCTCGCCAGAGAATTTCCTAAATACCTCGGACAGTAGTGAACACAGTCAGACAAATTTACATGCTACGAATGTTTCTAATAATACGCAACCAACAGGAATGCAAAATTTTCAGAATTATAATCAGAATGCTCAATTCACTAGTCAGAGTAATGATATAAGCTCAACTGCTCTCAGTCAAGGAAATTTGAGTACCAATTTTTCTAATCAAATGACATCTCAGGGACAAATGTCTAATCAAACACCAGCACATGAACAACTGCGTAACCATGGTAACACTTCACAAAATTATTCTAGTCAACAAACAAGTGAAGCTTTCACAAATCAACCGTCAAGAGAGATTCAACCAAGTTTTTTCAGCTCATCGTATACCGACTCATTCTTAGGAGGCCAGTCCTTCCAAGATACTGGAAGTTTTCAGCCTTATGAAAGCCAACATAGTCATCAGAATAAACTATCAAGACGTTCATCATCTAACCAAGAATTTTCTGATTTTACATCGTGTCAGTATGATGGATCAATGTTAAATCAGTTTGCCCAGTCTTTTGAAGAAACAACTAATATTCCACAACAACAAAACTTTCAAAATTATGACCAAGTCAATAATACAAAATTAAATGATGGATCTTTTTCAGGGATCAGTTCAGGTTTTATGAATCATAATCAAAGTTTCCAACAGGATTTCGGTCTACCATCATCTTTTACAACACAACCAGGATTTATACCAAGTTCATCCACCAGCATACCCTTTCAAGGTTATGCATCAAACCAGCCGTCCACAGTTACCCAGCCATTACCTTCAAGTCAGCTTCCTGTTGGAGATAGAACGATTCCATCCAAACAGCCAGCTCTACAAATCAATACAAATATGCCACCTGATCTCATTTCCGTCTTATCAAAACAGTTCTCCAAATCCCAAGTAGAGGATCCATGTCCGCCAGTTTTAGCCTTGACCCCTAGAGGTACTGGGGCAGGTTATGGATTAGGAATGGGAATGGATTTAGATTCACTAATTATGGATTCACAAGACACTGAATTGTAAGTTTTTAGATCAAGCATTTTTATTTTGATGTGTGAATGTGAATATCATGCAGTCACTATTACATGAATTAAAGATTGTCAAATTTGAATTAATCATGTCCTAAAAATCTGAATTTGTATAACTGAAATTATTAATATATAAACAACAATAATCATGATTTGATCTAACAGCATCATGACCTTGGTCACTTAGTCAGTTAAAGTCTGTTTACATTGGTCACTCAGTCAGTTAAAGTTAGTTTACATTGGTCACTCACTCAGTTAAAGTTTGTTTACTTTGGTCACTCACTCAGTTAAAGTTTGTTTACATTGGTCACTCACTCAGTTAAAGTTTGTTTACTTTGGTCACTCACTCAGTTAAAGTTTGTTTACTTTGGTCACTCACTCAGTTAAAGTTTGTTTACATTGGTCACTCACTCAGTTAAAGTTTGTTTACTTTGGTCACTCACTCAGTTAAAGTTTGTTTACATTGGTCACTCACTCAGTTAAAGTTTGTTTACTTTGGTCACTCACTCAGTTAAAGTTTGTTTATTGCACAGAAACATTAATGTAGCTATACAATGTATAGTTAAGTGATTCAAGGGCCATAACTCTGAAACTGTAGCATTGTGTAGATTATGAACTTGGTCAAAATTGATCTAATCTAGTATATTATTTATGAAAATTTCTTTTTCAGTGCCAAAAATTTGATTGGCAGTTCAGCCATGCAGGAATTAGTAATACTTTATAGAAATCACTAATCTATTGAAAATTTGTACTTTTAGAGGCAGAGCCGAGCCTTCACCATTGTCATCATCTTTGTTAACAGATTGGATGGATGTCACAGGAGATCTAAATATCGACATGGATGCATTAGAACAAGAACTTAGTTTACAGTCGCCCATGACATTGTCTTACAGTGATCTCTCTATGTACCCGTCATGATATAGTTCTATAAATAGACGTGGATGTGTTAGAACAAGAACCTAGTTTACAGTCGCCCATGACATTGTCTTAAAGTGATCTCTCTATGTACCTGTCATGATATAGTTCTATAAATAGATGTGGACTTTAGAGTAGAAACAGTATTGTACTTATTGATAAGGTTTATGTTTTAAAAGGGGGGTATTATAACAAACGAGGGGCAGTTAATAAAAAAATCAGTTATATCAAGGATTTGTGTCACTATACAAATCCTTGGTTATATGTCTCAGAAAAGAAAAAGGTATATCATTTTGTAAATTGGTATTTCACATGTTTCATAAATAAGATGTGAGGGACAGTAAAACAAAAAAACAAAAAAAAACACAAGTTATCTTTCTCAGAATGTAAAAATGTAAATTGAAACTTTGTAAATAAGATAAGTTTAAAAATAATTCTGCTGCTGCATCAGAAATTAAGAAATCTCTGACACACTAATGTTCAAATTGATAACCATGATAACCATGATAACCATGATAACTACTAACTAGACAATCCGTATGTAACATAAACAAGATTGCTGTAAAATTGAGGAGAAAAAATGTTTTTGAGGTTGCTTGTTAGTAGTAAAGACTTTAAGATACTACATGGGTTATCAGATTTGGGAAGTCAAAGAAAACCACATGGCAAAAAGAATTAATAGGACAACAATCCACAAAACATTAAGTCTTAATTTTATGACATCAGTGGAAAGTGATATGCCTTGATTTATTTATTGTCATGATTGTGCAACATGTACTTAGAATTATAAGGAATACCGTCTTAATATTTGTTCATGTTAAACTATAGAATTCTATCATCTTTTAATCAAGTAAAGTGATCCTTTTATATTCAGTTTTAATTATGAAGTGATTTGAAAATTGTAACTAGTTTTGCCTACTAGATAATAATGCCACTGATTGAAGTACAAAAATGTAGCTTCTATGTTATGGATTAGAAAACCTCATTTCAATGTTAATGCTTTTTGTGGATGAAATGCATGTCTGGCATACAAAATTTCAATCCTTGTGTCTATGATGAGTTTATTTAAAAAAATGTTTATTTAAGATGTAAAGATTGTCCAAAATGATGGTCCAAATAAATAAAGAGTAGAGAAAAATAGGCCAAAATAATAAAGAATAGAGAATAATGGGTAAGAAATATAAAAAAAGAGAAAAATGGCTTAAAAAATTAAAGAAAACAGAATTGAGGGACCCCCCTATCCAGACCCTCTGATAAGACATTAGTCTGTCAGACATCAGTAAGTGTATTTTTGAATTTTGTCTTACATGTTTGCATCAGGGTAGAGGCTCTGGCATCAGGGCTTCAAACATCTTTAATTAAATACAAAACTGCTGCTACTGTCAAAATAGCCTCATTTAGATATCTTGTCATGAAAAAATTTTGATATAAAGAAAGACTTTACCCAAAAACATATTTTGCTACATGATGTATTTTACAAAGATGTTAATAACAATGTGTAAAGTTTCTTTTTGGTTAAAGTTTGGGCTCATATCCATTTTGTGGAAAACTATGTGTAAAAATGTCATTTAATGTTAACTATGTCAATTTGACATGTTTATGACCTTTCTGCTCTAAAGGGTCAAGATCATATTAACCTGTTCATTTATAATGTGTTTATCAATAGAATAAACATAATTTTGAAAGTTTTGTATATTTTTATAATTTTTGCAATTTTAGTGGCCAAATAATGGCTGCTATTATACCTCTTCCTTGAGAAACATGCTACAGAATGAGCATCCCTCGCCTTTTGATTTTGATTGTAATATTAAATGACAATTTATACAGGAATATCTTAAATTATTTTGCAACAATTTCTATTTAAAAAAATTAGCAATAATGAATTGCACACTGTAAGACATTAAATTCTTAATACTCTTGATTCCAACCATTTTCATTCTATCAAATTACTTGTATCTAGTAAAAGAAGACCTTATTTTAAGTCATTAGTGCACTTGGTAGACTTGAAATTCACGTGCATTGAGCAAAAGGATGAATATCTTAAATGGAATAAAATGAAATTGATTAATTGATTGATTGGTGTTTTATGCCACTATCAGCACTTTTGGCTATTTAGTGGCGGTCAGTTTTTATTAGTGGAGGAACCACCAAGCTTTGGTGGTTCTCTCTGCCAAATGAGATATCTGGTAATGTAAAATTATATGAATTAAAGAGTATTAACAATTTATGTACTGCAGCCCTTAAATTGTGTAAACTTCAAAAAAGTGTGTGTAGTGTTATGGTGAATGGTGTATGATGAAGTGAAGAATGGTGAATTGTGTAACACAGAATGTTGTATGGTGTATTGGGTTTACACCTTTGTTATAAGTACTATAGGTTTTTTAATTAAAAAAAATATTGAAATTTTCACTTTCCCTGTATATAAATTGATGCATTGGTAATTTGAAGAGTGCAATATCATGCATGATTCGATTGGGGAAGGTGAATGGTGTATGGTGAATTCGGGAGTGGTGTGTTGTGTAGTGGTGAATGGTGTAAGTTGGAAGTTAACACAAATCAAGCACTGTACTTTGAGACATATCTTAAGACATGACATCTGTGATAAAAGTAATAAAACGAGTGCAGGTTACTTAATAGTGGTTGCAGCATTGTTCTAAGAAATTATTTATTTAATTATAGATATATTTGTTTCTTTTTTCTGTTTACAGTATGAACAAAATAAAGATGTAAACACTTATGTGTTGTTGATTATAAGTATAAAAATTAGAAGATGTGGTGGTATGAGGGTGTGGATGAGGGTTTACAGAATAGAGAATAAAGGGCTAAACATATAAAGAATAGAGAAAAATGGAACACAAAAAGTAAATAATAGAGAATGATGGGGTGCTAAAATATAAAGAAAAGAGAATAATGGGCAAAAAGTATAAAGAATAGACAAAAATGGCATAAAAAATTAAGGAATACAGAAATTAAGGAACCCCCATCCAGACCCTCTGGTATAATTAAGTCTCCCAAACGAAGTTTGGGAAGACTTATTGGTTTTGCTCAGTTCTTATTATTATTCTTCTTCTTCTTCCGCCACTTTTAAATTTGAACTTGTCCGCACCCGTTCTCCAAAACCACTTGTCAGATTAACTTAGGGTTTCACAATATGTTAGACTAACATGTCTAGTGGTGCAATCAGGGTTTTGTTTGTGCAATGGGGTTTATAAAGGGGTACTCTGAGGGGCAATAAGAAAGGAGGGTTTTACTATAGAACCCTATGGGATTTTATTTTTTTAAATTTTCAAATGATTATAAATTGAAAACCGTTTGTGATAGACACAATCTTTTTAATTGAAAATATTCTAAATGATAAAGCACATTAAATGAAATACAGGGTTAGTCCCCAGGGGTCACCCACACCCCCAGCCATTTCAGAAAGTTCTAATAACTTGTAAATGGTCAAGATCCCCACCCCTAAACCATATATATTCTGGTTTGTCATGCTTAGATGGTTTGAATGATATACAGGGTTAGTCCCCAGGGGTCATCCCGACCCCCTGCCATTTGAGAAAGTTCAAATATCTTGTAAATGGCCGAGATCCCCACCCCTAAACCATATACATTCTGGTTGGTATTGATAAAGCACATCAAATGAAATACAGGGTTAGTCTCCAGGGGTCACCCCCACCCCTGCCATTTAAGAAAGTTCTAATATCTTGTAAGTGGTCAAGATCCCCACCCATAAACCATATATATTCTGGTTTGTCATGCAAAGATGGTTTGAATGATATACAGGGTTAGTCCCCAGGGGTCACCCCCACCCCCTGCCATTTCAGAAAGTTCTAATATCTTGTAAGTGGTCAAGATCCCCACCCCTTAACCATATATATTCTGGTTTGTCATTCTAAGATGGTTTGAATGATATACAGGGTTAGTCCCCAGGGATCATCCCGACCCCCTGCCATTTGAGAAAGTTCAAATATCTTGTAAATGGTCGAGATCCCCACCCCTAAACCATATACATTCTGGTTTGTCATGATAAAGCACATTAAATGAAATACAGGGCTAGTCCCCAGGGGTCTACCCAATCCCCTGCCTTAAAAGAAAGTTGTAATATCTTGTAAGTGGTCAAGATCCCCACCCCTCAACCATATATATTCTGGTTTGTCATGCAAAGATGGTTTGAATGATACAGGGTTAGTCCCTAGGGGTCACCCCACCCCCTGCTATTTAAGAAAGTTCTAATATCTTGTAAATGGTCAAGATCCCCACCCCTAAACCATATATATTCTGGTTTGTCATACCAAGATGGTTTGAATGATATACAGGGTTAGTCCCCAGGGGTCATCCCGACCCCCTGTCATTTTAGAAAGTTCTAATATCTTGTAAATGGTCGTGATCCCCACCCCTAAACCATATATATTCCTGTTCGTCATGTCTCGAACATTTGAATGACGTTTAGGGTCAGTCGCCAGGGGTTCCCCCCACCCTCAATGTTCTAGTATCTTGTAAATGGTCGAGATCCCCATCCCTAAACCATATATATTCTGGTTTGTCATGCCAAGATGATTTGAATGATATACAGGGTTAGTCCCCAGGCATCACTAATGCATATAACTTTACTGGACCAAACCAATTTTCACTGGACTTTGTCCAATGTCAGGCGACCCTGGGAATTACGAATTATTGGTGCTTCGTTTGGGAGACTTCGTAACAGCATCCTGTTACAATCATTTCTTGTTGCCAATGAGACAACTCTCCATCAGAGACCTCCGAAACCAAATGATGTAGAAGTTAACATCTATAATAGGTCACTGTACGGCCTTTAACAATAGGCAAAACCCAAACCACATAGTAAGCTATAAAAGACCTTGAAATGACAAATGTAAAACAATTCAAAAGAGAAATCTATTGGCCTGGTTTATGTACAAAACAATAAACGAAAAAAAAAATATTCAGGCTTCAGATTTTGAACAGACACAAAAAGAATGTGGCGAGGTTAAACATGTTTGCTTGTACCAATCCTTCCGGGATCCGCTAACCTGGGACAGTGGTGTAACAGTACAACATAAGAACAAACTATGAAAATCAGATCGCTAATACAATGCACACCAAAAAAAAAACCAACAAAAACAAAAAAAGACACAAAGTACAGTGAGAGTACTCGCATTACTGAAATCTATATCAAAGTCAAAAACAACTAATAAAATATCATGTATCTAACTAAGACTAAAAGCCCTTTTAGTATACTAGTATACAATGAAGCTTGTCTAACCAGAACCCCTGAAAGATTGAATAATTGGTTCTGTTAAGACCGTTGTTTAATAAATACAGGTGGAAAATACATTGATGTTGGTATAAAGGGACTTTAGAAAAAATATTTTTTATAGGTTAAAAATATTTGGACATTGATAAAAAGCGACTTTGGAACAAATCCAGTTTAGGTGAGTTTTCCTATTAAGTCGACAGAGTTTTCTTTAGTCAATGTAAGGCTTATACAACCCTGTTCAAAATAAATTAAAATATATGTTTGTATAAAGGGACTTTGGAATTAAATTTGGTTAATGCATGTTTTACTGTATGGCTATGTGCATTGTCATTCAATACCGTGCACACTGTAGACATGGACTTTTCCTAAAATTTTCTGAAGAAAATACTGGACCAAATATTACCAAACTAAACCTGAATGCTCCCCGCGGAATCTTGTTTAAAAAATTTTATCTACAGTTTTGGCTGTATCAAAAATTAAAGCAGGTAGAGCAAAACTGACAGGTTTTAAATTGATCAGTAGGTCAAGGTGTATCTACTCGGAAAATTTCAGGAAAATTGGACAACCCATTTTAACTGAATTGTCCAATTATAGCAAAATCCGCATGTTTGGTTATTTTCTTGAAAACTATTGTTGATAAAGAGAAACTTGAAACAGTAAAAATGACCAGACCAAAAGATCTACAAATAAGTTAACTTCACCGAAATTGTCAATCTGAGACTACTATAACACATAGTAGTCTCAGTGTCAATTGACCGTTTGTAGGAATTAATTTCTGTCTTTGAGGGGCTGATTTTTAACCACTTTTGGCATTTCTTTACAGAACTGTAGAAGATGGAGAGAATCTTAAGAGAATAGAATTGATCAGCAAAATAAAATCAATAAAAACATCCACATGGCTGAAATAATCGATTTTTTGGGATACGATTGCTGTTAAGCATTCTGTAGACTTTTACCAGTGACTCCGTCCAAGGCTCTCACGTCAACCGTTTTGTGCTTTATATTAAGGTACAACTCAGATTCTTAATACTGTTCTGTTTTAATGAGTAAAACAAACAAACCGATTGAATTTAAAACAACTTTCCATTAATTTTCTTCTCATAATCTCATATGTTTTGATATCTCCCTTTTTTATTTGGGGTTATTTAACAATACGGAAAATTAATCAGCATTAACAGTATCTATATTTAGGGTTTTATATATTTAGTATCACGTCACAGTGGGAATTCCGCTGTTTTTTAAAAATGCGAGAGTCGTTCCGAAATAAAACTGTTTCCGCCAGACAAGTACTGAAGTGGTGTTATTCCTATTATGTTACCTTTATAAAACTTTGATATTGAACTTCCATAAAGAAATGGAGAACCACAGTTGACATGTTGTTCTCAATTAAAACATAATTCTAATTGTTTGTTGATGTGATTATAAGTGCATGCGTAGATTTCTTGAACTTGACAGCGTAATGGTAGAAGTAGAAGTAGAACACCCCCTCAGCCCAAATGGAGCCTTCCATATTATCAACGCTATTAAGAAACAACATGCCACTTGTTGCTTACGGTTGATCAAATGTTTTAAAAAAAAGTCAAATTCATTTAACATGTTTTAATATGTAAGTAATCATCAGATGTGTTTATTTGCTTTTATCCCTGTTTTGTTAAAAATCTGAGTAGATCTATAATGAACTCAGTCGTTAATAGATTACCGGTGGTATATTTATGGATAGACCATTCCATTCAAGTCGAATAGAAGACTTGTAATAATCAAAAGACAGTGTCCAGAGCAAAATTCTGAAGAAAATAATTGCATTTGTATGTGTATAATTAAAAATCGGACTTGGTTGGAGTTTTTTTGCTGTTAACTTTTAGTCTAAAATTTTAAGTTTTTCAAATATTAGTATGACTTTTCCAAAATTCATGGAATTTTGGAAAACTACCTGGATTGGGAAAAATGTATCTGTTCTTCATGATCAAAAGACAGTATCCAGAGCAAGATTTTGAAATTATTTCTTTGTTTTTTAATCTTAATTTTTGCGTGAACCCCCTGAGGGGTTCACGCTTATATATTGGCGAGTTTTGGAAGCTTCTATGGGCCATTCGATATCCTCGGAAACAAGATTCTCGGAACGTCTCGAAAAGTTTCGGTCATTTATACAGGTAGTTGTTTATGTCTTTGATACGGTCCCTCTATGGATAGGCTACCACGTGACATTGTATATAGTTCAACAATCGAAGTACATCTGTAGATTGTAATATTAAAAAAAAAAAAATGAAAACTAGATTGCAGTAAAAAATTATTAGATATTGACACCTATTTTGGCAGAACATATGCTTTTTTAATAATACGAAATAATCAGAATGTTTATTAAATATCAAGTATAATGATAACGCAATTATATAATTTAAGCTTTGAGACGGCCCCTGGGCGCGTTGTGTGTGTGGTATTTAATACAACGACGTTACGTGCTATTGTGTATTGAGCATTGTGAC